ATATGAATTCATCTTGACTAAGAGTAAGGTTTTTGTTCAGAATTAATCATTATTTAAAATCATTGTATTTTCTTTGTTATTATGTACAGATTTTAAAAGAATGTACTTTCTTTTAATAAAGAACTCTTCACAGCACTGCATCTGAACAGTCACAACCTCACAGAGCTGCACAACTGCCCCACTCAGATCAGTGTTGAAGCTGGAACCTCATCTTGTGTACAGCAAAGGCAGAGCTGAAAATTCACTGTTTGTCTTGTATTGTGTGGTAAGTCATAGTTTTATTAATTTTTTTATTTTATTGCAACACTAAGTAGTCCATTCTGTGGCCAATATGATATAAAGGGCCTAAAATGGGACTGATGTGATCATTGTTTTGATTTCTAGATAAGTACTTATGGGGCTACACATGCAGCTGAAGTTAGCTACATGGAGTAGGACATTTCTTTCAGTATACTCTTAAAGAGATTCACCCAAAAAGGAAAATTCTGTCATTAATGACTCATCCTTTACTTGTTCCAAATATGTCTGACTTGCTTTCTTCAGTTAAACACAAAAAAATATATTTTAAAGAAAGATAAAAACCTGCAAACATTAACTTCCATAGTATTTGTTTTTTTACCTACGATGTATGTCATCGTTTTTAGCTTTACAGCTTTCTTCAAAAAACTTCCTTCATGTTCAACACAAAGTAACTTGGAAGTTTTTAAAAAAGGTTTACAACCACTTAAAGGAGAGTAAATAGTGAACTATTCCTTTAACCCAATCTAGTTGACTTTACTAGAAAATTGTATAGAAACCCAGTGGCTTAAACCTCTTACATTTTATACAAGGTACAACTTAACAGCCATACTTGAATTAAAATATTACTGCAAGTCCAAGAAGATTGTAACGGTTCTAGGTTAATTTAAAGTGGGCTGTTTAGTTTCACCTTGTGTAAAAACATAAAGGGTTTAAGGCAACATGTTTCTATGCAGTTTACACTCTTAACCCAAACTAGTTGACTTTATTAGAATAAAGTCAACTAGTTTGGGTTAAGAGTGTAATGGTTTACAGTAATAGCAGTGAATCATGCAGGCATAAAATTAATGTTTAGCCATGTAAAGCAATAAGCTTGTTATAATTTAGAAATATTTTTAGGGTGGAGCACAGTATGCTGTTGTAGTTTTCATGTAATTGATGAGTCAAACATGAGATGTGTGTTTTAAATTGCAAGAAGTGAATTAACAATATGTTCATCAAGATTCAAATCTTGCATCTTATATTTTTTAAGGTTTTGGCCCAATAATACCCATATTCTGCTATTTAAAAAAAAAACATGCTGGAGTTTGTGTCAGCATTCCCTTCAATGAAAACTACAGCAGTGGACATCAGTGGTGATAAAAATGTATGAGAAGGATAAGGGTGTTCATAATGAGAAGTGCAGTCACTATCCTGATCGCTGAGTTTGTAGAACTGACAGATCTGCTTGGAATACATGGAAACATGCTGGAAATGTTTAACCTATTATACAGTTAATTCAAGAGTGCCAGGTTTAATGACACTTTACATATATAAATAAATATCACTGAACTTTCTAAATGAAACCTAACACTCATTCTTTGTTCAGTAATGATATTGTGCACTTTTAATACTTTACAGTGGCAAAACCTGGAATAACACATGGGAGCCCTCCAGGAATTCCTGACACTACGCCCAAGTCTCCTCATGCTAACCGGATTGCAATATGACAGTCTAGTCAGCATAAACACCTGGACTCGCCAAGCACACTTTGGTTCTCAGTGTTTTGTAAAAATTGTTTTTGCTATTCTTCCGTAAATACTTGAATATGTTTTGAACTTATTCTACTTTTGATGTTTAAGTTCAGAAAGTTGTTATTATAAACATAATTTGCATTGGTCATGAACTTGACTTCTTGTTGTTGTGAAAGCTGTTTATTATAATGGCATTTCCAAAGGCATCATTTGAAAAGATTTTTTGCAGTGCAGTTTTACTTGAGCTTGACATACCAGATGTATGACATGAATAAATATCACAAAATAAATATAATAATGATAATACAAAATATAAATTTCCTTCAATTATAATTGTTTTTAATCATTTATATATGTATGGTAATATATTATTGCATTAAAAACTGTTATAAATATATATATTTTGGGTTTTTGCATGTTTGCGTGATTTTTTTTTTTTTTTGTGGCATTATAAATAAATTAAAAATGTTTCATTAAAAATGTATTGTGTTTATTTGCATTCTCATTTACAATGAACTACTATTTTTACTATTTAATGGGCACTATATTTGTCATTTAAGTTTGACATATTTGTATACCTACAGGACGCAGTGTTTAGTTACAGGAAATGCTGGAAATGTTTTCAAACATGATGCTTTTTTTATTATTTTATTATTCGTTTCAAATTTAGTATACTGCCTATGATCTGGTTTTACTATGATCATTTTGCACATTAGGTTACCCCCACAAAGGAATCTCACACGGTAAATATACATTTGTATTTTTAATAAGACAATAAATAACATGTAATATTAATGCACATTTTGATATTTAAGTTATATTATAAGGTTATTATAATCTATCTTCAACCGGAAAATTACCAAATAGAGACAAAGTGTGACGTAGATTGCGACATTGTGATTGGACTATAACTTCTAAGCCAAATTAAAAGATCCTTCGTGTTGCTAACTATGTTTTGCTAACTTTGCCACTTTACTAACAGTGTCCTTTATCAATGAGTTATCGCTGTGTTTCAAATAGTTACCGATTAACCAAGATCGTAACCCTAAACTTAACCCTAACTACAGCTTTCAATGAACTACAATTTGTAGCGCCATGTCTTTCCCGTCCCATCTATACAGCGACAAAGGATTGTGGGTAATGTAGTTTAAAGCCTTTTTGTAATAAAATGGAACAAATACTATTTTTAATGAACTAAAGACTATCTGAATAAGGTCATTGTGCATATATTTATGACATATATGAATGCCAGACATAAATTTGTTATTTTACAATGAGTATTTTTTTAAAACAGCTTTTATTGACTTGATTAGTATATATCAGACTATTATATCCAACATTATTTATTGAACATAGCATAGATAATAGTCTAGCTGATATTCTCTCACTCATTTCTCGTTTGAAATGTGAATACTTTTTCCTTTTCTACGGGGCTCTACTCATCCCCTTTGAGTAAAAGGGCAGTTAACCTATGTAGATGTATTATCTTCAACATGGACAAGAAATTGTATTGTCACATGTACAGTTGTGGTAAAAAAAAAAAAAAAAAGCTGTAAAAAAAAGCTAAACATTAGTATCCTCTTTAATCACAAGTTATTAGCAATAGTGATCTATGTTCATCACAAATATTATGAGTTCAGAATAAAATGTGTGGATGTAATTCTGTAAGTGTGTTTCATTAATGGTCATCATGTGATGTTTAATTGTTTTCACTTTATTTGAAATATGGATAAAAGCTCTTAAAATATGTAAATGTTTCTAAATATAACTTTTTTAAAGACATGTATTTGTTTGAAAACCACTCTTTATCTGATTATTTTTACTTTCTAAATCTTCAACTGTTTGTGTAACAGTATGTTTTGATGACAATGGATGAACTTTGTGTTAAATAATGATTCCACATCATGTCTTTGTCCTGCATGTGGGTTAATTTGTTAATTATTTTCTTTATGATCAAATGATTTTAAGATTTGCTGCATTGTAAGAATCATGAAAATAGTGAGAAATGAGGTAACAATGACGATAAGATATCCTTTCAAATGCTGTGAATAGTTCAAAATGATTAAAAATATATAGCCATGAACCAACAAAATAAATATGCAAACCTTTAAATTATCTAAACTAGAAGTAAAAAAAGTTCTGTGCTGTACTTATAAGTTACTGTGAAGTTCTATGTCTACAAAAAATACATATTTTATTTTACTTTTTGGCTTAGTCCCTTTATTAACCAGGGGTCGCCACAGCTCTATGAACCGCCAACTTTTCCAGCATGTTTTTATGCAGCAGATGCTCTTCCAGCCGCAATCCATCTCTTGGAAAATATTTTATTTTTTTATTTTTTATCTTGCATTCAATAAAACATTATACAAAGTTAATTTTTATTTTCAGAATAACAACAGTGGCACTGTTATCTCACAAGTACAGTAGTTTTTTTGTTAGACATTCTAACAAATGAATACAAATGTTTCAAAGTAAAGACAAAATAAAAAGGAGATTAATTTTTTTTTTTTTTTTAGAAAAATCCATGAGGACCAAATAGATCCATCAGATCTTTGATGTAAATCATAGGTTAATTTGTTCAGAGGTAGAAGTCTGGTTGCCTGACTCAGCCACATATTGACTGGAGGTATCTGAGCAGGTGACCATAATAATGTACATTTTTTGGCCAAGTATATGCAGAAATTAAATTTATCATAAAAATGTATCATAAAATTAATATTTTAAAAGCTCTTAATGTCATTTAATGTAATAATTTTATTTTAATATAGAGTTCCTTAAATCGTTATATGTTGTAAGCAGTTAGGCATACAATAATGCTCTTAATTTACAACACTGATTGATTTTAGAGGAATGCTTACATACTGTACACATCTATGTATTTAAAAAAAAGAGACAACAATTTTATTTTATTTTTACATATTTTATTACATGCTTTAGATTCAGGGTTAAGGTCATCCTCTTCTGGATTACAGTAAAAGAAAATCCACAGTCAATGTCATACTCATCAGCTGGAGCTTTATTTAAAAAATGTCTGTACTCTGCTCCAGCCAAAACTTGCAGGTACCTTGCAGGTCTCTAGATAGTACCATCGTATTGTTTTTTATTTCTGAGTTATTTTGTTTCTTTTTGAGAATGATGATCTATAGACCTTTTAACCCCTCTTTGTTTAGGCCACATGTCGAATCATAAAAGAAGAACACAACAACATAAAAATATATTAATATCCTTTGGACTGGGTAACCTTATGCTTGAGTTTGAGCCAAATAATACAAATACATACCAGTACTTTTCAGAAGCAAACAAGCAGGAAAGTTCTTTGAAAGAACCAGGATGAGTTGAAAGGTATTTATAGTGGTTGGCCATCTCTGCCACAAGAATCCACTGCTCCCGAAGAATCCTGACTAGCAGGATGATGTTGAACACCCTCCTCTTTGTTGCGGGATCAGCAGAGTCTGAAATATATTCATAAAAAGAAAGTTGTATAACACGGATTATACGTCAACTTTTAAAGAATCAACACTGACAGAAGTCTAGTGTACATACCATGCCATATGACGAAGACATCCATATCACTTCTGTTTTTTGTTGTCTTTGCTTCTGCTACTGAAAAAATGACAATAATAGTAACACTTACAATTTTTCATGACTACATGTAATATTAATAAGAATTTCCTCACCCTCTGCCCACTCCTCTACATCACAAACCAAAGTCTTCCAATTGGTTTCCAGTCAATGCCAGTTCCATGGATTCTTTTTTGCAACTTGCTTTGCAGAGCTGTTGCGGTCTACAGTGATAAGCAATCAAAAATCACAATACTATTCAAATAGGTTACTGAACAACTAAAACAAATTCTACTGGATATCGTTACCTTCTGATATCAATAGGTCAGCGAGATGGCCAAATTGTTGAATATCTGCTAATTCCAGCACATGACCATGAGAGTTACAGTAGCATGTCTGGTCACTGCAATCCTAGAGAAGAAACACTGCACTGTTCAACCTCCTTCCCAAGAGTAAAACCACACATATCCTTGTATGCCTCACTCCATTTCACCTGGTTAACATATACAAAAACAAACAAACAAACAAACAAATAAGTAAACCAATAAGTTTTGGCATTTACTTGTAGATCAGTTTAAGATAATCATATAGTTCATCTATCTCAGATATAAACTCATGTGCTTAGGCATGAAACACACTAAAATCATGGGCTTAAAGATGGTGCTGAAACTTTGGACAGCTTTTTGCAACTCTTTGGAGGTAGTGTCATTAGTTGATGTAGTCCACAAATCTTCCTGTCAAATCCTTAATCCTTAGCTGTAAATAAACCTTCAAAAATGCCAGTGTTTGGAAAAGGAATGAAACAGTACAGAACAAGTGCATGACAGTTTATATCTTCTAATCTAATTTTACTAGGTGAACATCAAAGAGCTGTTTTCTTGTTAATTTAGTTTCAACACATACAGTTTAAAGTACCTTGTGCATTCTTGAAATGGTTATGCTTATGGTTCACATCTACTTAAATTGGCAGTATATCTAGTGTGGAAGCAGGACAGATGAAGGACTCTTCCTTGCAAATACTATCCACCTTGTATTGCACAGACTCACACTCAAGAATATCTCAGAAAAATGTCTGCTGAGAACTTGGCAGTCTTTAAAAAATAATTATACCAAACTCTTTTCCACCAATGGAAAAAATATAAAAATATTTTAGGATATATTTATATGTGCATGACCAAATCTGAGATAAAAAAGGCCATCAGTATGCCTTAGTTTAAATAAAAACAAATTTTTACTCTAGCCCACTGTCACCTAGATCTATAGATACAGAGACTAATGGAAACATTAAATTACACACCAACAGTCACTGGAGCAAGGCCCTCTCACAGTTGGGAAGATTGGAGTTCCTTTGAGCTGTACCAGATAAAAACAACAAAAAATTAACATTTATAACAATTCTAACTTATCCTAAGACTAGTAGACAAGCAGCATAAGTAGTTCTAATTTCCTAAACCCCAATGTGGACAGTTGATGGCCTATAAGGTGTCATAAAATCAGACAAAACAAAATACTTTCTGAAAAAGAAAAAAAATGGTTGGCCACTATCAACACCCAGAACAAATAGTTTTAAACAGTTAGGCCACAATATTTTGTGAGCTTATACTGTAGTTTATAATGTTTTTCATAAACAATAGTACTAGTAAACCTAATGCGTCTTTTCTGTTATTACAATGGTAGTGAAAGAATAAATGCATTTTATCTCATACAATCATATATGCCTAAGCAATGTAGATATTTAATATACATGGAATGAAAAACTTTAGTAACCCTTGACTGATTCCAGAGTGGTCTTGGCCTTCCTTACATGGTGGTGCTTCCTGCAGATCACCAAGTTGTCATCAAGACTTGAGCTTATAATTGAGATCTTGATGATCAATCTGAGTATCAAGGTCCTTAAGCTGCTCTTGGAGTTCTGAATCACTCATGGTGATAGGCAGAAACAGACTGAAAGACACAAGAATTAATCAAACAGATATAAATTTGTTAACAGAGACAGAGAGAGAGACAAGTGCAATTTAACATATAAACATGGGTAAAGTTACTTTACTTTTTGGTTATTAGAAAACAAAATTGGATTTTTAAAGTAATCTAAAGAACCTGAAAAGAGTAAAGAAAAAATATTCATATCTGAACAGTGAACACCTTATCTTATAATTTACACCTATATATATATATATATATATATATATATATATATATATATATATATATATATATATATATATATATATGTGTGTGTGTGTGTGTGTGTGTGTGTGTGTGTGTGGTAGATTAAGCTGTTTTTAGGTTTAGTTTTGTGTTGTACAATGAATAAAATGTGCTCAGACTGGCAAAATTTCTGCCTTTTTTCCTTTTAAGGCATGGAAAATAATTAGTTTTACAATGTAGCCTTTAATCCTTTGGAAACACTTGATTTGCTTTAATATTGAAACAATTATGAATACATTTGTATTATTAGAGTTGCATATTGCATATTATATACAGATTTTGAACAAATTCTATTGTGGAAAACAACAATCTGGTAACACTGTTCCTTATCTTAAAATGTATATATTGTTCTGAGCCATGCATGACCAACGTTATATTTGAGAAAAATATGTTTTTAATAAATGAACTTGATGAAATTAGATAACGTCGCTAGTTTACAGTACATGCTTTATCAACAAATCGTCTTTATTTGTTTACTGTTTACTTACCTTGTGGAAAACCGCAGTGAACCTTGGGATCGCAATGAACCTTGGGATAGCGAGCATAGACTGTAAAAAATAGATCGCCACATACAATGACCCCAACTTCAATGAATAATTTAAAATGAAAAAGATCAGCCAAAAACATTTTTAAAGAGCCCATATTATACATGAAATAGGGTCATATCCTGGTTGTAAGGGTCTCCAACAACAGTCTAATATGCATGCAAGGTCAAAAAACACTTTCATGGTCTTATAATCTGCATTTATTTTTAGCTAATTATCCCAGCGACTCCTGTATGAATCGTCCAGTGATTCATTTGTTCCCAAACCCCTCCTTAGCGCGGAGCTAATCTGCGCTGATTGGACCGATGACAGTCTGTCGCGATTGGTCGACTGCCTTCAGTCAGAGAGGGAAATGGCCAATAGCTAATCAGCAATTTAAAAAGTAATCACAGTTCATACACGCTCGATAGTATAGACGTGGATTTTAGCTGCCACACTATGGCGAGTGGATAGTGCCACGGATAACCGAACGAAGGAGACAGTCGTGTACTGGCCATACCACACACACACAAAAACACACACACACCTCCGGATGACAACGCTCCCGCTTCCGCCCGCACCCGCCAGGTTTTAGCCTGAGAACCCGCTCCGTTTTCTGCCCGCCGCGCCCGGTCCCGCTAGAGCGGAGAACACAACCAAAAATCACCCAGTATACAGTCCAGACAGCCAAGCTGTCGTTCGTTCGTTCGCTCTCTCTCTCTCTCTCTCTCATACGCGCGCGTGCGCACTAACACACACACACAAGCACCACGCAGACTCTCTCTTTCTAATTCGCATAGCAATATCCGTGATATTGCTAGACAGCCCGCTCCCGTCCCAAATTAAACCCGTTACCGACCGCTCCCGCGATTTATTCGGAAATTTATTCCCGCGGCTGTCCCCGCGCCAGATTTCTGCGGCGCGGGAATAAATTTCCGAATAAATCGCGGGAGCAGAACTCTAGCACGGAGCTCCATAAACAAACAGCACGCGTCGCGTTTTTAACGTGACTTTGCACGCGATAAGATAAAATATCCAGTTAACCTGATACAGTACACGCGGTTACAAGTAACAAATCACAACTAAATACATTTGCAAGCAAGAGTAAACGAGGCAACAACTTTAACCGCACGTACTTACACTTGAGAAATGGAAGAAACCCATCCTGACGTCCATCAGTTACTCTTTACTGATCCTTCCTTTAACAAACTCAGATGAAGTATTCTTTGTAGCATGTAGCTTCCAGAAGTTTCCAACTGCTTGGTTATAATGCTGAGGTTTCATCTTTGGGTAGAGACTCAATATATCCATCTGCAGTGTGACTTCAATCGACCGGCATGTTTGTGTGCGTGTGTTTGTGGGTGTGCGTGTGTTTGTGGGTGTGTGTGTGTGTCTGGGTTTCTGCGTCAGAGGGCGGGGCCTCAGGTTTGAAATCTCCCGGGTTTGCGCGTGCACGTGAATAACTTGGTTTCGTTCGTACGTCATGGCGAAACACCTAATGAGTCGGTATCAAGGCGACTCGTTTGAAGCACTATGAGTCGACTCTTTTATAGATGAATCAACCGTTTTAAACACTGTATTCTTACAGATTTAAGCCTTAGCTGGATACTTCGCTTCACTTAGAGCTGTGTTACACACTACATGGAGGGGAATTTTCAAAAACCCATAATATGGGCTCTTTAAACTTAGTACTTGAAATGTAATATTTTTTAAAGTAAAAAAAAAAAACAATAAATAATATGAATGAATCAAAGTTTTATTAGGCATAGTTACCCTAAACTGGGCAACCGAATATAATTTTACTCATTAAATATAAAGTAAATGATAACATATTTATAAACACCAACTAATCTCCAATAAAAATACACTATGCAGCATTAACATACTATTTAATGTTGACAGTTGAACTCATCTGAGAACTCACCGCTGATGCAGTTTGACCAATAGCAGAGCGGCGTTAAACTCACCGTGGAGTGATGTCACGTGGACCGAAGTTTATTCATACAGTAGTTTCGACCCAGTTTACAGACGCTTTTCATGAACAAAATAAAAATTACATATTTTTAAAAGAAGAAAACTGCGATAATTGGCGTAAATCAGGTTTTAAAAAGTGCGTTGACATCTATTGGGAATTATACGAGCCTCCAGCGTCTCCCTATGACGCCTCAGGCTGAGGTACAGATTCTATAGGGAATCCCTGCACGTCTGAATGTGACGCTAAAGGGGTACCCTGTGCGTCAATAACTTACGCCGAGGGTTCCTGACCAAGCGTCAGTATATGACGAGTAAATCTAGCTCTTACTCCCTGTCTTTCCTTGATGTCATATGCTTCTGATCGCCACCTTTCTTTCATTTTGTATGGTAATTTTGAAATTACATCTCTCATATTGGTGGGACTGTCCATCTCCTCCATGGACTCCCCATCTTCCAATGTATTGCGACATCCAATTAGGAATAAAGCATAAGCACTCAAGGCTTTGCCATCATCAGACTTGATTTGAGGCCACTTTTGAACTTTATCAATAAAAGCTCTTGCTATAATAAGCTCGTCTCCATAATGCCTTTCGAGCAGTCGCTTTGCTTCTTTAAAACCTCTGCTTAACGGCATATATTCACAGCTTCTGACAATCTCTTGAGGCTCTCCTGCAGTGTATTGTTCAAGATAATACAACTTGTCTTTTTCATTGTCTGTTTTATTTTCAATGGTATGCTCAAAAGACCCGATAAAGGATCTATAGGTTAATGGATCCCCTCTAAACACTTGTATGTCTTTACTAGGAAGCTGAATTTGTCTTTGTTGTCTCACCAACAACTCAGTCAAGTCATTTTGTTTCTGCATAACTTGAATAATGCTGTTGTCTGCTTGTGGATAGTCACTGTGTCCAGGTACTTGTACGTTCAGTTCTGTTGCTGGATGTATCTTTGGACTTGAGACAGACTTTGCTTTATCCTTCGCCACAGTAGAATGAGAAGGTGAGCTTTCTTTCTGCTCTGTTTTCAGTTCAAGCTGTTTATGGTGGAATCCTTTTCTTTTCTTTGACCGCACACTACTTTTTCCATCCTCTGAATGCTCATATTCTTTCAGAACCTTTAATTTGGCATCACTTTCTGCAAGCGCTGTTTCTATTTCAAGTTCCTCCATTTTTGCCTTTATCTGCATCTCTTCAATAACAAGTTGTTGTTTTTTCTTTAATGATGCTGCCCTTGCTAGCAAAGCTGCACGTTTTGATTCTTCTTGTGCATATGCAGATGATACAGAGGAGCAAACAGATCCACTTGTAACTGAATCACACCGCTGCTTAAGCTCATTTTTGTTCAAAGATACCTGTGAGGCACTGTCATGAGGCATAATATCATCCTCCATTTCCACATTGTCATTTTTCTCATTTTTCTCAGCTACAGCAGCTATCCAGTTTTCTGTTTTATTCCTAAAAATATTCAAAGAGTCCATTTTAGGCTGAAACCAGTTTTGTTGGTCTGCAATCCTTTCATCTTCAGACAAAAGATCTTGAACTTGAACATTTAAATCATTAAACTCTGCTAACAATTGTGCAAAGTCAAGTTGCATTAAATCGTGCACATTCTGCAGATTTTCATCATCATTCATCAACCTTTCTAGGGTTTTTATATTACTGGTAAGAGCAGATAATTTAGCTCTTCTCAATCCAATAATTCTGTGCAATTTCTCCTCTAAAGCCTTTTCAGTAGGTTTAGGCGCCCTCTTGTGTTCGAAAGCTGCAGTTTCACTTTCGCTTCCTTCAGCCATCTCCATTCAATCAATGCACAAACTGTTTGCAGACGATTAAAAGTACACGCAATACTTTTCTGCATCAACCGTATGCATTTCAGCTTCTTCAAATATGCATTGAGTCATCATATAGCCGAATCAGAGTCCGTTACCTTACTGTTATGCAACGTTTCATACGTGTCAGTCACGTTCCTTCCTGCAAAACAGCTTTAAATCCACCGGAGAAATATCATCCACTATTTATAATCCACGATCGCGAGTCATTTCAGATCACTCAAAGACGATAGTTTAGAGATGAATCTCCGTCCGTCATAACGTGCCACGTGCGCTCCTTCATTTTCATATCCATAGAGCAAGTTTTTTGACTAAATTGTATGTGCCATCGATCCGTCTCTTCTTGTCTTGTTTCTCTCTTTGAATTAGCAGGATTTGAACGCGGGTAACATAAGACAGTCCAGTGATGTCATTTCGAACATGTTTAATAACAACTTAACTGAACTATAATACACGGTCAAAAAACTGTCTTGCTTCCATCTTCATGACACAACTTCTTCCTTACCGGAAGTGACATCAGCATATACTTTATATTAAATTAAATTACTTTTAGTAAAATATTTTCAAGTTTGCCTTTTACATTATTATCAATTTAACATAAATAAAACAATGAACTTATGGCTCTTATAGTCATCATATCTCACTGTTTGGAGCAATGGTCTCCAGTCAAGTCTTTTAATTGAACTAGATCTTTGTGAAGTTGCAGATAATTCAATCATCCACATATTGTGACAGTGTCCATCCTAAGATCTTCTCCCTTATTATAACCCTTTATGCATTCTGGTGTATACAGTATATGCTAGTCATCAAGCTACACAAGTACAAACAAGTTTCTACCCTCCTCTGGCAGTTACCTAAAATAAACTCAATAGAAACTAAGCACTTAATATATTTACCATCCAAAAGAACATATCTCCACATACAATATGAACTTCAGCTGGAAAATCTTCTCCTATTGATTGCTCTTAAATCATATTATCAACATTAAGCCTCTTTTATCTGTCTTGATTAACCATTTATTTTAATTATCAAATTAACTACAATTAAATATTATTAGTTACTTATAATTTATTACTCCTTTAAATTTAAATAGAAATGTCTAGGACAGATTGTATATTACAGTAAATGTTTATATTATTGCTCCTATTTTTACACAAACTTTTCAATAGTGTTTAATACCTATTTCAGCATTTA